TAAATCAAAAAAAATTAGCCAGGCATGGTAGCGCGCACCTGTAGTTCCGGCTACTTGGAAGGATCGCCGGAGCCCAGCAGGTCGAGGCTGCGGTGGCTGGGAGCAGCCACTGCACTCCAGTCTGGGCGACAGAGTGAGACTCCAACTAAATAAATAAACAAACAAACAAACAAGGCAGCATAATGGAACACATCAATTCTCTGAGGCGCTTACTAAGAATACAGACCCTTGACCTGACCTCCAGAGAGTGTGATTTAGTAAACTTACAGTGAGCTTGCACATCTGCTTTTTAGCAAGTTCCTAGATAATTTTGATGCAGCATGTCAGGTGACCAACATTTGTTAGATTGTGTAGCCATTTTCCCCCAGGATAGGCATGTAGGGTGTTTGTTGCTTTTATAAATGTTACATTAAACACCTGCGTAAAACTTTTTCACATTTAGAATTAAGAAATATTCTTAAAAGTATACCCGCCTGAGCAGCCTGGCAACAGAGTGAGACTACAACTCAAAAAAGAAAAAAAAGTATTTAAAGTGTAAGAATTACTTGATGAGGGCAACATGCTACCTGTGCTGTGTCTGTACTCCAGGGCAGTGCCTTTGCTAGGTTACCTACCTCAGGACCTGATTGGAACATCGATCTTAACACACTTGCACCCAGAAGATCGTTCTCTGATGGTTGCCATACACCAAAAAGGTAAGGATCTACTTCTTTCCTCCCCCCATCCCCTGACCTACTTCTTGATGGGAAGAAGTTTTTTATCATTGATTCTAATTTTTTTCATTTCTTGTTTCATTTCTTTAACCAGATAAAGAATGTATTTAGGCAATGTATTGAAACTGCTAAAACAATTGTTTTCTCTTAAAACATACCAAAAACTTTACAAATAAATGAAAAGGACGTTCATAATCAATATTAGCATCAAATAAATTCTATTTTTGTCCTATTATTTTGTAGTCTTGAAATATGCAGGCCATTCTCCCTTTGAACATTTGCCTGTGAGATTTTGTACGCAAAATGGAGACTACGTCATATTGGATTCCAGTTGGTCCAGCTTCGTGAACCCCTGGAGCCGGAAGATTTCTTTCATCATTGGTCGGCACAAAGTTCGAACGTAAGCCAGTTGGTTTTCATATTTTCTAAAACATGGTTTTTTACCAAATAATATTCCTTAGTTCATTGACTGCTTCTTGAAGTCAGTTGACACATGAACTAAAGCACAGATGTTCTTCCAGTGCTTTTGGAAGATAGCTTGGAATATGTACCAGGAACCTTAATAGGAAGCATAATGTCAGACTTAAAGCAGCTTAAATGACGCTCATTAAGTAAACTCTGGAATATTTGTTTGATGTATTTTATTGGTCAATAAAAATTTTTGCAGAGATTACATAGCATGAGGAAATGTTTGGCACATGAGATGTAAAAAAAATACAATATTACTTGTACACTTATAGTTATGTTTTAAACACACACACAAACATAAACTATGAAATAGGGAAAAGAACACTGGAAGGAGATAAGCATATGAGTTTGGGGATATGTATGTAAAGGAACTATGGGTGAGATTTTTTTTCATTTTTGCTCTGTGTATTTAAAAGTCTCTTTAGTGAGCATGTAAGACTTTTCATATGCATATGCTGTCACATTCACTTGTGTCTATTTTATTAAATCTTTTTGAAAATTAAAATGTTTACTAATTTCTTTTCCTGCCAGCTTGCCTGACTACAGCTTGTTTGATTGCTGTGTCCTGTCCATGTAAGAGAATTATGTGAAAAGGACCTAGAACAACCTGGCCCACTACTCCTTCTGGCCTAAAATACTCCGACCTTGAGTTTTTGGTCCTTTTTTATTTGACTTGTAGATCTTTTGAGCTGGTCGAAGGTTTTCATTTGATGCCTTTTTTTTCTCAATTTTAAGCATGGAAATGATACTTAATTCTTCAGTATCATGCTGACACTGAGAAATCATGTCTTTTGTATCTTCTTGTACAGCTTCGTATACATAAATCTGAGCAGAGTAGAACCACCAACAAGACTGACTTTATCACATATTGCTATTAGAGTAGAGATGATGCACACCCAGAGGGAGAAGGGATCAGGGTTGCTGTCACCTCTTTGTACCCCAGGGTTGGCCTTTCCACAGAGCAGGTCTAGAACCTTAATGGAAGAAATGGGCTCCTTGTACTCTAACTCATGGGACTGATTTGTGCTAGAAAACTTTTTTAACTTAGTAATTAAAGAAAGAAATATGGCTACCAAGTAATTGCTATTTGTGCTAGTGTTAATCAGAAGGACTCCCCCCACCCCCCAAGTAGGAAGCCTTTTGGAAACAAAAGTAAAATGCGATGGTTGCTTAATAGGAGTATAGAAACCCCAGAGCAAGTAAGATTCCTCTGGTGAGCCATCTGTCTGTGAGGTTGTTGATTGGTCTCCATCTTCCCACCTCAATTAGTACTAGAGATAAGTACTAGATGTCCCAAGTTGTCTTTTCAATTGTTTGGTTAGATATATATGAAATTACCTGACATATAGTGAATACTCAGAGTGTTTTTCAATATTTTTAAAAAATTATGCCAGTATTTACATCTCAAGAAACAAGATTATGTAAGGGAAAAGAACTTAAGGTCTCATAGGCATTCATCACGCTCATAAATTAATAATTTTTTATTATATTTATAAATTATTTTCAATGCATGTATTCTTCCAGTGAGCATTTATGAATTGCTTGCTCTGCACAAGGCATTATGCTAGACCCAGAAAGTAAGATGGTGACCAAAACGTTCCCCTTGCCATCATGGAGCACACATTGTAATGGGAGAGGCAGCAGATTAAAATGGCACTGTGATGTACAACTAGAGCTGGGAGGGTGACAGGTGACATGGGAGGAGCTAGGAGTGTTCACACAGGACCCTTACCATGCGTCTCCGAGTCCTTCCTGGTGGCACTGTGGGCAGACATTGTACAGGTAAGATCCATACTTGGTGAAATTGAGCAACTTTCCTAGGGATCACTTAAGGAGAAAGTTGAAAACGGAGACTAAAGCCAGGTTATCTTTCTAGCAGCATGATACTTCATGCCATATTTGTCACTATTTGATGTAGACTGTTTCTCTGTCACCTGCAGATTAATCAGTTTTGAGTTTCATAATTACTGGTTAAAAATACAATTGAGATTTATAGAAATTTCACATCTAGGAATATCTCAGTCTCATAGTATAGAGCAATCTGTTTTATTTCCATTTCAGGATTTCACTCAAAACTTGAAATCCAAATACCTTTGAAAGATTTGCAAGCTCATAATGTGTGGGGTGTATTTATATTAGGAATCAGATGTACTTTAATTCCCAGACTGATAATTCGTTTATTTTTTATTTTAACAAATATCTAGTGGGTTCCTTCTGTGGACTGACACTATTCTAGGTAATGAGGTACAAGAGTGAACAGAATAGACAAAAAACTTGACTCCATGGAGCTTACGTGGTCAGGGGAATCAGGAAGGGACAGACAACTTACAAAACAGGTAAAATGTATGGTGTGTCAGGTTGTGCACTAAGGTCATGTATTCAAGAACAGTGTGCCACTGACTGCTGACAGATACTGATTGGCACCTGCCACAGTCTAGAGCCAAGTGGAAATGAAGGGGGAAATGGCAGCTGGTGTGCAGTGACAGCAAGTGTGTGTGGTGAGTGAGGAGTCTGTACATGTGGAGCTGTTCCTGACTCCTTTTATGACACTGCCAGCATCCTGTGATTTTTTAAAAATAATTTCTGTCTTTGGGGAAATGTTTCAGTTGTTAGATAACTGAGCTGCAAGTACAAACTGAGAAACTGGGACTGGTATGATGGAAAAAGGAAAGCATGGGCTTCGGAGTCAGACATGTGGATTCAAATCCTGACTTTGCTACTTACCTTGGTTATGTGATCTCGGGCAAGCTCCTTGGACTCTCTAACCTCTGGCTTTACCTGTCAGGGATAATGTCTACTTCCTTGAGTTGTTGTGAGATGATGAATCTGACTCAATATACCTCCCTGATAGGACTTGCCTTACCAGGGTACCATACAGGCAAAAGTGTGTTCTCTGTAGCCTGAGCTCTGGGTCCATCATGAAGACCTGCTTATCCCTTATCAGATAGGAGGCCTGGAGAAAGTTCTTAATCAGGTGGAGGAGATAATATTTGTAAAGCACTGGGAATAGTGAAGGTTTTGAATGTATTATTCTTATTGTATGTCATGAAAACTAGTAGTTGCTGTTACATAGAAGGTCCTAAATAAATGTTAGTTCCTCCTATTCTTTGTGATCATCTTTGTTGGCCTGTCTGCATTCACTGTATGCAAACTGAATGTATTATAATAGCCACATTTTCACCACTAGGGTGGATTGTAGAATTGTCTTTATTAGACTGCTTCAATGATTCAAGTGTACTATACATTACATGTTGCTTGGCAAACTTAAGGTCCTAAAATTCTTACAGTAGGTTACTTAGATAATGTCACATTTTGTCACAGCCATTGTTGAAGATACTTTAGTAGCTAAGGAGGTTACTTGTCACTAGTTTTAGGTTTATACATATAGGCAGTATAGTACTACAGAGAAACTTAAGGCTGTCTGTCTCATTTGTTTTTTAGTATTTCCTACACCTCTATAAATAGAATTTCAGCTTCATCGTTCCTATATGTGGAGTCAGGAAGTGACTTTCTAAAAGCACAAATTTATTCTTTGACTGGTTTATTAAAACCCACTTCATTGTAAATGAGTTTTCAATTGCTTGACACAGTCTTTCACTTGTATTTTGTAGAAGTCCACTAAATGAGGATGTTTTTGCTACCAGAATAAAAAAGACAAACGATAATGACAAAGACATAACAGAATTACAAGAGCAAATCCACAAACTTCTCTTGCAGGTAAGGTGAGATTTTAAAAAACAAAATGCAAAATTCCCTTATTGTATTTTTATCTTAATATTCAGTGTTAGTAAAGTCACTTCACAAAAATAAACTTGTAAAGAGGGAGAACTCCTTATCTTCTACATTCCAGAAACATTTCTCTTTCTCACTCTCCTTTTTTTTTTTTTTTAAAGAGATGGAGTCTTGCTGTGTCGCCCAGGCTGGATTGATTGCAGCGGTATGATTATAGCTCACTGTAGCCTCAACCCCTTGGGCTCAAGCAATCCTCCCTCCTCAGCCTTCCTAATGAGTAGGACTATAGGCATGTGCAACCATGCTTGACTCATTTTTAAATATATTTCTGTAGAGACAGGATCTCACTATATTACCCAGGCTGGTCTTGAACTCCCAACCTCAAGCAGTCCTCCTGCCTAAGCATCCCAAAGTTCTGGGATTACAGTGAGCCACCGTGCCCAGACTTCTTTTTGTTTTTAAATTAAATTTTATTCTTTATTCTGTGTTAAATACACTGAACATTTTTGTAAGAACTCATTTTAAGACGGCAAACTGAGTCATAGTAAGCAATAGGACAGGGAAGAGAGAAGAAGTTATTTCCGTGTGAGAGAACTCTTGTATTCCAAATGCTATCAGTATGCTCAACCTCTGAGTTTGGCTTCAGAGTTTTTTGGGTTTTTTTCTCCTTTAGTAATTCCAATTTTAAAGTTGGGAGGAGAAGGATGGTAGGTATTCATTTCTCTAGCTAGTATAAAGTAAAAGTAGGAAAAACTACTTAAAAAGAAATACCAAAGGTGGTGTCTGCTAGAGAGTTCATCAATATATTTTTAGTAAATAAATCTAATGGTGTCATGTGGAGTAACTCCTCAGGGTTTTCACAATGTCTTGTTAAAATCTCTAGGGTACATGAAGTATCTATCAAGTTCTTGGAAAAATAATATGGTGTATATTTAATTTGTTCTCTCTATTCTAAACTTGCATAAAAAACTAGAGTTTATTTTCATGTTTTTAACAATTAATTATACTCTGACTTTTTAAAATCTGTTGCCCTGAAAATATCTACCTACGTTAGGAAACAAGACTTTGCCCTTGACAATTACTGAAAGAGAGAAGAATGCCTTTCTTGTTAGCATCAGAGTTGAGAAGAAAACCTGCCCACACCTCATTTAGCATTTCAGAAAATTGAATCTTAACTTTCATGTGATTCTAGATAAACTCTGGGGTAGGTAATGCTGCATTTGATGGCCAGTAACTGCAGAACTATCCCTTTGTCCTTCCAGCCAGTTCACGTGAGCGCTTCCAGTGGCTATGGGAGCCTGGGAAGCAGTGGCTCGCAGGAGCAGCACATTAGTGCCACATCCTCCAGTGAGTCCAGTGGGCACTGCGTGGAGGACACACACAAGGAGCCGGTGAGTGGGTGCATGCTCTGTTATGTATCAGTTCTGCACATGGTGACGTTTTGGTAAATGTTCTTGACTGAAAGACCTCATCCGATGAGAGACACTGTAATCCATTTTGGTTTGGAAAAGTTTTGTAAACAGAAAATATCACCTTTGAAAGGTATAATTGAAGTAATTGTAAGCTTTCTAGAAATTAGCTTATTATGAACTGATTCATTTAAACTTTGTTGGTACCAGTGTCCTGTGGCACAGTGAGAAACTGCATGAAGGTGAATACTGTGCTGTTGATCATTATGTCTTCAGAGAGTCAGAAGTTGGGTGTATTTTATTTATGTATCTCTTAATGCACATTTTTATAGCTTTTGAAACATATTTTATTATTTTTTTCCCCAAGATGACCTTGCAGCAGGTCTATGCCAGTGTAAACAAAATTAAGAATCTGGGTCAGCAACTCTACATTGAATCAGTGACCAAACCATCAGTCAAGCCAGTGATGGGGACACATACAGAGCCGCTTGGTGGTGGTGAGTTAGCAGGGCAGCCCCAAGGCTCTCCTCCCACAGGCTGTTATCTTCTGCATAGACATCGTGTATGTGACCATGAGCATAAAGTCGTGTACCTGGGTTGCTCCTTTTCTTATTTCTTTATTTGCCAAGATGACAATAGTACTGTCTGTAGCAATGGCAGCAACAAATACGATTCTGGATGTAAATGATACTAGAATGTAGTTGCAGTACACTTTGACTTTCATAAAAATTAACTTCTGAAAAACCAGCAAATTCATAGATTTCCCTCCCTGTATGAACTGTCTATAAACTGAGTTGATTTTAGAATGCATTTCAAATAATAAAGTATATTATAATAATCATCCCTTTCTGTCATTTCAAACAAATGGTGGAAATATGCGACCTAAAATAAAAACCTTGGGGCTGCCAGGCTCGGTGGCTCAGCCTGCAATCCCATACCTTTGGGAGGCTGAGGTGAGTAGATTGCCTGAGCCCGCGGGTTCAAGACCTGCCTGGGCAGGCGAGACCTCATCTCTACAATAAATCAAAAAATTAGCCGGGCGTGGTAGCACGTGCCTGTAATTCTGGCTACTCGGAAGGCTGAGGAGGAAGGATCACCGGAGCCCAGCAAGTCGAGGCTGCGGTGGCTGGGAGCGGCCACGGCACTCTAGTCTGGGCAACAGAGTGAGACTCCAACTCAAAAAAAAAAAACAAAAACCTTGGGGCTTTTTCTTGATATATGTTTAATTTTCTCAAATATGAGGTAGGAAACACTCCAAAAGAATCAAATCAGTTGTATTAATTGATGTTATTTGAAAAGTTAACTTAGTTGCGTGATATAACATAGGAAAGTTCTATAATATAGAGATCAAATTAGATTGACATTTTAATTTTGCTAATTTGGCCTTCATTTTTCCTCCTGAATGTTAGTAATTTTGGATGTTGTGATGGATTTTGGTCACCTAAATGTTATTATGATCTCTGTGATTGTCAAATGTAGACATTTTACACAATAGGAGTGAAATTTTTTTCTAAGGTCAGTAACAATAATGACTATATTTTTCAAGGAGTGAAATTTTTTTCTAAGGTCAGTAACAATAATGACTATATTTTTCAGGACTTGACATGATTTACACCAAAAACAAATCAACTGCTGGTACTATGGGTGATACCATTGGGAGCCTGTTTAGTTTGTGCTGTTATAATAAAATACCTGAAGCTGGATAATTTTTAAGCAACATGAGCTTCTTTCTTGCCATTTTGGAGGCTGGGAAGTCCAAGATCAGGGTGCCAGCAGGTTGGTTTCTCGGTAGGACCTGGCTCCGCTTTCAAGATGGTGCCCTGAACATCGTGTCCTCAAAACTCTGCATATTCAGATGTCCTGCCGAGGGAATAGAAAGGCAGAAAGGAATGTAGCTAGTGCCTTTCAGCCCTTTTACTAAGGTTACTAATCCCATTCATGAGGGCCTTGCCCTTGTAACTTCATCACTTCCTATTAATATTGTAACATTGGAGTTTAACCTCTAACGTATGAATTTGGAAGGGACTTACATATTCCAACCACAATAGAGCCCATAGGATGTTCTCCAGGTATAACAAATACGGTTCTTTAGTTTTTTTCTTTTGATCTTGATAGGAATAATACGTTTTTGTTTTTGTTTTTTTGGTCACTAGAAACCATCGGTGTCTCCCTTTGTAAAAGAAATGATCATAAATAACATTTTTGCTGTATAAAGTATCATTATTCCATGTCTTGGCAGAGAAAAATTCTTTTGGAAGGTGTTGAAGCCAACATTTCTAAATGTTTTCTTCATTGTCTGGTCTGGTCAGTCCTCCTCATGGCTACCTTGGCCTAGGATCTCTTATGAGTATTATAGTTTTACACCCTGGTCTCTGTTTCATCTCAGAATAACTTCCTTTCTCATTTCCTGCATTATTCAGTTTCTTATCCTCTACCATGGATGTGGTAATACCATTGGTACTACTTTTTTAAAGGCTATTTATTTAAGTAGACAGCAATATTCCATCATTCACTGTTTTATGGCATTTAAGCTGCAGGTAACTCTGTGTGCTTATGCAGCTACTTTAGAAACTGAAATGTTTTTACTACTTAGATGCTTATATTTGGCTCTAATAGCACATGTAGGTTGTGACTTCGGGGGAGAAGGAAAATCTATTGACATTTGGTATGGCTTTGGAGAGCTGATGTTCCTTGGGTATCTTGATTTTATTAACATTTTAAGATCTATAAGTTTAAAGAGCTGTAGAAAACCTTTAGTACTTAAGAATGCAACTTTAAAATAAAGATGTTATAATGTAAATGTTAGAAACTGACTAGAGACTTAAAGCAATGGAAAGGAAAATGCTTAACAGATTATCGTTTACATGCTTTACATATAGACTACTAGAGCCAACAAAAACTTAAGGTTTTAAGTTTAAATTTTTACTGTTTTTACAAGATAAGTTAATACTTTAAGATAGAATAAGAAGGGAGATTTTAAAAGTTAATATGGGAAAACAAGAACAATGATGATCTGTAAAGCTCCTTCAACTTTGCTACCTCCTTGGAGTGCTAAGGTTACAGGGTAGCTGATAGGCCTAAAATCTGAGAAGAGACACACGCTTTTGGGGAGGAGTGAGATGCAGTGCTAGATTAGGGTGCACTGGCTAGCTGAATCATGTAACTTGAAAAAAACAGACCCTCTCCAGGGCACAATGTAAAGAGAAGGCCAGAAGCTGAAAATGGAGCAGATATTGAGGAAAAAACAAAAACTCTCTAGCAAACCAGCCACTTCTGAAGCACAAAGTGCAGCCAGAGGAATTTGTAAGCTGTATTACATTCTGTATAACCATTGTAACAACAAACCTCAAACCTATCCTGAAACTTAGATTAATTCAATGTCCTAACAAAAGGAAAGGCATGCTTAGTCTCTACTGTCCTATACCAGTTATTCAGTTTCAGTAAGAAATTATAAAGCTTGGAAAGGCAAAAAGAAAATGAAACAACTTCCCAAGAGACAAAGCCATCACCAGAACAAGACTCAGATGTGACACAGAAGTTGGAACTATCTGGCAGGGAACTTAAAACAATTATGGATAATACACTAATGGCTAATGAATAAAGTATGCAACATGCAAGACCAGCATGGAGATGGATCATAAAAGAAAGGATCAAATAGAAATCATACAAATGCCAGGGGTGAAGAATGCCTTTGATGGTGCTTGACCCAAATAAGAAGAGAATCGGTGAACTTGCATATAGATTGCTTCAAAAATTACTTCAAAAATTTGTTGCCTGCAGATTTATTCTCTAGGAAATGCTAAGGGGATTTCTTAAGGCAGAAGGAGTGTGATACCAGACTCAAAACTTGGATCCACATGAAACAGAGCATTCTGAGAATTTGGGGACAATATCAAACTATCTAACATATGCATAATTGGAATCTTGGAAGAAATAATGGCCACAGATATTCTGCAGATCCAAAGAAGGTCAAGTAAGTTAAATACAAAACCAAAACACTGGAGTATATCACATTCAAACCAATGAAAACAAAACCAAAGAGAAAATCGTGACGGCAGCCAGAAGAAAAAACCTTACATGGAGAGGAACAAAGATAATAATTATGATAGGTATTTCTATAGAAACATTGCACACTAAAAAGACAATGGAGTAACAACTTCAAACAAAAAAAACTGCCAACACAATTTTATACCCAGGAAAAAAATATCTTTAAGAAATAGGCAACCAGGCTCGGTGGCTCAGCCTGTAATCCTACGCCTTGGGAGGCTAAGGTGAGTGAATTGTCTGAGCCTGTGGGTTCAAGACCTACGTGGGCAACTTGGTGAGACCTCATCTCTACAATAAATCAAAAGTTGGCCGGGCGTGGTAGCATGCACCTGTAGTTCTGGCTACTTGGAAGGCTGAGACGGAAGGATTGCCGGAGCCTAGCAGGTCGAGGGTGCAGTGGCTGGGAGCGGCTACTGCACTCCAGTCTGGGCAACAGAGTGAGACTCCAACTCAAAAAAAAATGGAAATAGGCCATTGCTTTTCTAGACTCTGGTGTAACCAGAGTAAATTCTATTTTTAAATGATTTTAAATTGCTTTAAAAGGTAGTTGACTAAAGCAAAAATATTTTGCAACTGTAGCATGCATATATAAAAGTAATAGGACAAGAATACTGCGAATAAAAGGAGGGGGAGATATTGAGAATTTACTGTTGTTAAGGCTTTATACTAAGAAACAGTATATTATTTGGAGGTAGACACTGAGTACATGAGAATAGATATTGGAAACTTCAGGGAAAAGAATAGAAAATATTTTGAAAGAGGTAAAATAGTAAGTCAGTGGAAGAGATAAAATGGAATTTAAGAACCTTAACCCAATATGAGGTTTTAAAAAAACAGAACTAGAGCTGAAAGTGGTGACATGCACCTGTAATCCCAGCTAATCAGGAGGCTGAGGCAGGAGGATTACTTGAACCTAGGAGTTTGAATTCAGCCTGGGCAACATAGTGAGACCTCATCTCTAAAAAAAATTAAGTAAATAGCAAATGGAACAAATAGAAAACAACTTAGTAGTTGGTATATTTTAATCCAACAATATCAATGATCACATTAAATGTAAATTTCTCAGTACAATTGGATGAGGAGACCCAACTGCATACTATCTACAAGATCTCATTTTAAAAACAAATATAGACTGGGCTCAGTGACTCAGCCTGTAATCCCAGCACTTTCGGAGGCCGAGGCGAGTGGATTGCCTGAACCTGCGGGGTTTGAGACCAGCCCAGGCACCTTGGGCTGCTTGTCTCTACAAGAAAATAAAAAATAAAATACCCAACACCTCGTCTCTACAAGAAAATAAAAAATAAAATAGCCGGGCATGGTAGCATGCATCTGTAGTTTCAGCTACTTAGAAGGCTAGAGAAGGAAAGATCACCAGAGCCTAGCAGGTCAACACTGGGGTGGCTGTGAGCATGGGTGCCACTGCACTCCAGTCTGGGCAAAGGAGTGAGAC